GCTCTACTACTGTCTGAAAGGTCGGTGGTTCAAACTCACCCAGAGGCACCTTGGAAGACAGGCCTAGTGATCTGCTTCTGAAAGGTTATGGCCTTGAAAACCTGTGGAGCCGTTCTGATCTCTACACATGGGGTCACCATGAATTAGAATTGACTCAATGGCAACTAACAACAACAGCAACAATCATTTTAAGAAAATACATGGTAGGCACTCAAACAGTTGTCAATGAATTGTTGTGTGCTGTAGCGTCCATAGCAACCCAATGTGACAGAGTAGAACTACCCCATAGGGTTTCCTAGGCTGTAATCTTTTTTTTTTTTAAATGAATCATTATAAATGTATTTTTACACATAAGAAACTAAAGCCATTGGCTACGTGTCTTTTAAATTAAAAACCTTGGGGAGCAAAGACCATAGGTTAGTCACATGTAGATCTTAACTTCCATTCTCTCTTTCACATATAGGTCCTTAATAAAAATTTGTTAATGGGTAGCCCAAAGCAAGCTTTTATATTTGATACCTAAAAAACTAAAAAGAGTAATATACATGTTGAGCCTCTAGGTTGCTTTTGTGTAAAACTGCATGCAGAAGCCTGCCATAATTTACACAGTTATGAAACTGAATAAATTGATTTTTTGGTTAGTTGAAACATATGAAATCTCAAGGTAGAGTCACTAAAGTAACTCTGGTGTCAAAGTATTTCTGTATGATAAAGAATTATTTGGCAATGAAAATTTACCACTAATTGATTGGTCTGGGTAGACATTCTTTTCTTTTTTTAATTGTACTTTAGATGAAGGTTTACAGAACAAACTAGATTCTCATTAAACAATTAATACACGTATTGTTTTGTGACACTGGTTGCCAACACTTGACATGTCAACACTCTCCCCTTCTTGACCGTGGGTTCCCCATTACCAGCTTTCCTGTCCCCTCCTGCTTCCTCATCCCTGCCCCTGGGCTGGTGTGCCCATTTAGTCTCATTTCGTTTTATGGGCCTATCTAATCTTCGGCTGAAAGGTGAACCTTGGGAGTGACTTCACTACTGAGCTATAAGGGTGTCCAGGGGCCATACTCTTGGGATTTCTCCAGTCTCTGTCATACCAGTAAGTCTGGTCTTTTGTTTTTTTCTTTGTGAGTTGGAATTTTGTTCTACATTTTTTCCAGCTCTGTCTGGGACCCTCTATTGTGATCCCTGTCAGAGCAGTCAGTGGTGGTAGCCGGGGATTGTCTGGTTGTGCTGGATTCAGTCTGGTGGAGGCTCTGGTACTTGTGGTCCATTAGTCCTTTGGACTAATCTTTCCCTTGTATCTTTAGTTTTCTTCATTATTCCTTGCTCCAGATGTAGTGAGACCAGTGGAGTATCTTAGATGGTTGCTCACAAGCTTCTAAGACCCCAGACGCTACTCACCAAATTAGAATGTAGAACATTTTCTTTATAAACTATATTATGCCAGTTAAGCTAGATGTTCCCTGATGCCATGGTCCCCACAGCCCTCAGCCCAGTAATTTGTTCCCTCACGGATTTTGGATGTGTCTATGGAGTTACCATGACGTTTAGGCTGTAATCTTTAAGGGAGCAGATCACCAAGTCGTTTCTCCCGTGGAACGGCTGATGGGTTTGAACTGCCAGCCTTTCAGTTAGCAGCCAAGCACTTAACCGTGGTGCCACCAGGGCTCCTAGTTAATTAATTAAAGCATCTTAATAACAACCTTGAAAAATGTCATATAGTTTCATGCTTTTTTTCCCACAGCTTTATTGACATAATTCACATGCATACAATTCATCCATTCTAAGTATACAATTCACCAGTTTTTAATATATTCATAGAGTTGTAGACCCTTACCACAATCAATTTCAGAACTTTTCATCACCCCCAAAAGAAACCTGACACCCATTGGCAGTCATTTCCCATCCCCTGCCTCTCTCAGCCCCTGGCAACCACTAATCTACTTTCTGTGGATTTGCCTTCTGGACGTTTCATATAAATGGAATCATATAAAATGTGTCCTTTTTTATGACATCTTTCACTTAGCATATTGTTCTCAAGGTTCATTTATGTTGTAGCATGTATCAGTACTTCACTTCTTTTCATGGTTGAATAATATTCCATTATATGGATAATACCACATTTTGTTTATCCATTTATCAGTTAGTTGACAGACAAATAAAATCAGTTCCCTTGAAGAGAGCTCTGGAGCTCCCTGTTCTTACAGCCTCCCTCTTTCCCTGGGCAAAACCTCTATGTCCTTGCTCTGGAGCTGTGGACAGGGACGGTGGCCCACTTCTTTCAGAGTAACACGCCTGCTTTATAAGCAGGGTACTGACTTAGGACAGTAGCCTCTGGTTTTCTTGAATTGCCTCTGCCACCATGGAACCTCTGCCCTATGAGCAAGCTGGGGTGAGGAAGATGATCAGGGCCCCAGTGTTCTTGACCTGCATTGCCTGGTGTAGAGCTTCCACCCTACGTACTAGTGGGGGCTGGAGGAAGAAAGCCTCAGACCTCTCAGCCGTTTTTTGCCTGGAATCAAGCTTCTGCAACACAGAGCTGGCAGGGTGGGGGGATGAGAAATGCTGATGGCCTGTTATTTCTAGGGGGATACCATAACATCAACTGAGATCTGAGGGGAGAGGATGTCCTGTGTTCTTGGCTGCACCTTCCTGGAGTGGAACTTCTGCCACAGTGAGCTGTGGGGGAAAGGGAGGGAGCAGGTTGTAGCTCAAATGCCACAGACTCTCAATTTTCTTACTAGATTTAGTAGATTTTCTTGAATAAATGTTTCCTCATTTGCTGTATGCCCTTAAGATAGCTTATAGAGATTTTAAATGGTTGGTTTTTTTGTCGTTTTTTTTTCTAATCATTTTTGCCAGCTATGGTTGTTTTGCTGGGGAGAGGGTTTGCGGAGTTCCTAATGCTGGCTTTCCATAGTCGTCTCTCTCTCTTTTCTTCTTTGGTGCTCTAATTTGGTTGTTAAATGCAGTTACTGATTGATGCTTTATCCTCCAATTTGCTAAAAATTTCAGTCTTCATTTTGTCTCCCTTAGCCAAAGAACTAATTAACTTTTTATAAAAACACCTAAATTATTATTGTATTCATGCCTGTAATGTACCATTTTCTCATTTCTACCACTGTTCATATACTTTAAAATTAAACTTTACATTGTTATCACTAGAAGTTGTAATCTGATGTGTGATTTCCAGTAGCATCTAATGTGACTTAAATTTTACACTGAGGAAATAGTGTTTTTTGTTTTAAATAGAATATGTGATATCTGTTGTGGGCAAATGAAGATATTAGGAGTGGAGTACAGGAAGAGAAAACTTTTTGGCACAGAAAAGAGTTGATGCATAAGAAAATATCCAGAAGCTAAGGCCTTTATTTTCCCAGGAAAGCACCTATAAATAAGATAGAAATATTATTTATCAGAGCAATAGATAACAAATCTGTCATCCAATTTTGCATTTAGTCACTGAGAACTGTGGGACCAAAAAGTAACTATGTAAGATTGATCAGAGATATTACCTCCATATCTGGTTTTCTGGATCCTTTGACCAGAGTGCTTACTGTATTCTCCTTGCTATTATTGAACTTTGTTTTCTATACGTTGTACTTAGTTCCAGAAGGCTCAAACCTTGCTGGGCCATAACAGCAGAACCCAGATTCAGATATAAAAATGATATTCTTACAGACATCTATCACTTATACTCGTTAAGCCAGAATTATGGTATTACACTGTTTTGTGAATATAAAGCTATTGTTGATCTAGTCATTAGAGCATGGAATATGAATTGTTTCCTTATCTGTCCATAAACTGTCACTTTGTCCTTCTTATCACCTAAAATAAGCAGTAGCTCTCAAATATGAGTCCTAGGGCTAGAGTTGATATGTGACATTTTCCCTAATCTGAGGCCAAAATATTACCATATATTTACCAGTTCCTATTTCTTAGAAGAGATGATTCTTTGCTCTGAGATTGACATTCCTACTATTTTGATATTCAAATGCCCTGTATTTCAGATAACAATGGTGGTTGTATGGTAAAGTAAGCTAGTATTTTTGCTTATTTTTTCCTTTGCTTTAAATAAAATTTAGTAACTATATGTTGCTCCCACTCACTTTTTTCTTTTCTTTTTTTTTTAATTAACTGGTCTGTGGAACCTGTAAGTCTAGAAACCACTAAACTAGAGAATTTCCAAGACTGAGTAGGAGAGACATTGTACGTACAACATAGGTTGTATCTGTAGAACAAGTTTGTTAACTTATGCAATTTTTTAAATAAAATTTTATCACTATTTTTGCTGTCTTTGATTCATATTTTTAAAAGACAAAACTGACTTTGCAAAAAAGATGAAAACGATCTCAAAATCACTACTCTACTACTTTGCAAAAATGGAAACCATCTAAATGTCCAATAATAAGGATTGGTTAAATTACAGTGCATTCATGTAATAGTTATCTATTAAAAATCATGCTTTATTATAGTATTGTATGACATGGGAAAATGTTCAACTACAGGTCAGCTTGTCATGTTCTGGTAACTATTCCCTCCCCTAACCTCTTCAGGCGTATTGCAGCTTCCCAAGGTGTTTTACCATCCCTGTTGGCTTTCTTTAACCCTGTTCACACCTTTGTAAATAGTCCTCACATTAAACCCTCTTCAGTCCCCCCACTTTAGTGTGTCATCTGTTTCTTGTCAGGACCGTGAATTTTACAGAGGTTAATGGTGAAACTACACCATTATTCTCTGGTTGTTGAAATTACAAAGAAAACAATAAATACCTGTTGTTAAAAGTATGTGCACTGCAGCTAATAATAGTGAGGGCTACCGTTAATTAAATGGTTTATTCAGTTGTACACTGTGCTTTATGTATCTCATTTGATCTTTTAAGAGAACCCTATGAGATGTAATAGGTATTATCGTTTTCTGTATACAAATGAGGAAACATTAAATATCTTTGATGACTATGAATTATATATTGTCATTGTTTTCTTTTGTAGATCATTCAAGAGAAGTCTTGGAGCAATTAGTAGGCCCAAACAAACTAAAGCAAGTGACCTGGACTGTTTATTAATGCTTATTGAAGCTTATCAAACTGGATCTTCATACTGCTTCCACAGGAAACAACAGTCTATAGAGATTGGCATTCCATTTAATTTAACACTATCCTATTATTGTCTTATTTCAAGTTATAACTCTCAGCTAACCAGCTAAATCCCAGTATATACATGGTTTGTGCTTTGACGTTAACCAGACTCTTAGACCTTTTAATAGTGCTGTTATTCTGTATTTGTTTAATAAGTCATTGTTTTTTACATGGTAATCCTAGCATGACTTCTGATCTGTTGGGGAGGTGGGTTGTGTTTTGTTTCTTAAATAACAAAGTTTTAAATTATCTGTGTTCCCTGAAGATTTCCTTCTACTTCCTAGCTATTTGAGCTGTTAAAAGAGAAATTTACCAATATAGACGAACTTTAGGAGAACTGTAAATGAGGGTATTTCTAAAAGCATAATTACCTTTGTAGCTATTTTCTGGCTCCTGCCTTCTTTAAGTGTTTAAACACCCATTTGCCAAAAGCAAAGCTGAACATCAGGCTTGCAAATTCTTTGTGGAATTCATTATTTCAATGAAACAAAGAAACATAATAGTTTTATGTCATAACCCATAATATCATCATACACCTTAGCCATCTAGCATCTGAATGCCACTGAGGCCCTTGTCCATGCACTTATTTCATTGATCTTTATGGCTAATCTTCCCAAATACGTGCTATTCATCTATGAACTTTCTCCCTCAGCAAAACTGCATTTAGAAATGTTTAAAAATTAGTAGATGCAAACTATCGTTTCAGAGTTTGTATTCTGAAACTGTATTAGTTCCACATTGTGAAATAAATAGCACAGGTCTTTGTTTTCAAATGAAATATATTACTCTTCTGTTATCACAAAATTGTCTGAAGTATACTATGCTTAACCACCCACTGCCATTGAGTTGATTCCAACTCATAGTTACTCTAGGGCAGAGAACTGCCCCATAGGGTTTCCAAGGCTGAAATCTTTATGGTAGCAGACTGCCACATCTTTCTCCCATGGATGCTATGCTTAAACTGCCCTCTAAATTCAGCATATTCCCTGTACTATGAGCCTGTCCATTGAGACTTAAGTATTTCTTGTTTTGCCTCTGATGCAGTAAAAAAACAAAGAATATGGTATGGTAAGTTTATTGTACATGTTTAGGGAGAGGGGTTACATATCTGACTCTTGTCCTTACTATTAATTACTTCATAAATGTGGCATGTTACAGTGTAGATATGGCCACTGCAAAGGTGGTATATGTATATATATTTAAATGGGTAAAGCCTGTTTCACCTATGCAATTGTTCTAAACACAAATTCAATAAAATTTAATATTGAATATCTAACCAATTCAGTAGCTCCCCCCACCCCTTTTTGTGAAACTAGTTTCAAGATCTAAGGTTGATCTTGTTAGAGTCTATAAAGGATTTATTTTCCTAAAGCAGTTTGCAGTTTGATCTTCTTGCATTATTATTACTGGTTTCATTAACTATTCCTCACCACCCTGTTTAAAATTTCAGTACCTCATCCCCACCCCAGTACTCCTTATTACCCTTACCTGCTTCATTTCTCTGACCATTACCCTCTGAGACCTATTTTATTTTTCATTTGTTCATTTTCTGTTTGCCCATCCTAAAATATAGGTTCCATGAAGACAGATTTTTGTCCCTTTTTTTCACTGCTGTATCCTCACTGCCTAGAATAGTACTGGTACTTATTAATAAACCCTCAAATATTTGTTGAATGAATAAGGAAACAAAGAAGGAAAAATAATTCCCTCTGAAAAATAGTCTCCAAGGATAATTAATGGATGCTTCACATCTGGCAGTTTGATACACTATGCATATATACTTCTATTAATTTATAGCACACTAAACATTCCAAGTATTGGAAAATAAGAGTAAACATCCTTGCTGTATGGGAGAAAAGATAAAGCATGTGACAATTAAATAAAACTATCCCACATTGCAACTCAAGGCTTGAATTTTTTTCTTCACTTATTTCAGCTTGAGAAATGCCAAGCATGTTCTTCCCTTTTGGTTTTCTAACTCCAGGTCTTTGCACATTTCATTAAATACTTTATCTTCTCAAGCTGCCTTTTGAAATCTTTTACTTCACCATTTCTTCCATTCACTTTAAGCTGCTCTACATTCAAGAGCAAGTTTCAGAGTCTCTTCTGACACTTGTCTTTTCTTTCTTTCCTGTCTTTTTAATGACTTTTTGCTTTCCTCATGTATGATGTCCTTGATGTATCTGGTCTTCGGTCATTAGTGTTCAGTGCATCAAATCTGTTCTTGAGATGGTCTCTAAATTCAGGTGGGTATACTCAAGGTTGTACTTTAGCTCTTGTGGACTTGTTTTAATTTTCTTCAGCTTCCACTTGAATTTGCATATGAGCAATTGATGGTTTGTTCTGCAGTTGGTCACTGGCCTTGTTCTGACTGATGATATTAAGCTTCTTTATCATCTCAAGTTGCAATAGTGACGGATTCTATGGGCAAAGTATTGAATGACACAGCATCAAAAGAAGATGGAAGAAATACACTGAGTCACTGTACCAAAAAGAATGGTCAACGTTCATCCATCTCAGGAGGTAGCATTATGATCAAGAACCGATGGTACTGAAGAAGTCAAAGCTGCACTGAACCCAAAAACCCACTGCCATCGAGTCAATTCTGACTCATAGCAACCCTATAGGACAGAGTAGAACTGCCCCCATAGGGTTTCCAGGGAGCAGCTAGTGAATTCGAACTGCTGACTTTTGGTTAACAGCTGAAGCACTTAACCAAGCTTTACTGAAGGAAGGCACTGGCAAAAAACAAAGCTCCGGGAATTGACGGAATACCAAGTGAGATGGAATACCTAGTGAGGTGGAAGTGCTCACTCATCTATGCCAAGAAATTTGGAAGACAGCTAATTAGCCAACCGACTGAAAGAGATCCATATTTGTGCCCATTCCAAAGAAAGGTGATCCAACAGAATGCAGAAATTATCTAATGATATCATTAATATCACATGCAAGTAAAATTTTGCTGAAAATAATTCATAAACAGTTGCAGCAGTAGATTGACAGGGAACTGCCAGAAATTCAAACCAGATTTAGAAGAGGATGTGGAACAAGGGATAACATTGCTGATGTCAGATGGATCTTGGCTGAAAAATGAGAGTAACAGAAAGATGTTTACCTGTGTTTTATTGACTACACAAAGGCATTTGACTGTGTGGATCATAACAAGTTATGGATAACTTTGTGAAGAATAGGAGTTCCAGAACACTTAATTGTGCTCGTGCAGAATCCATACATAGACCAAGAGGCAGGCATTTGAACACAACAAGGAGATACTGTGTGGTTTAAAATCAGAAAGCATGTGCATCAGGGTTGTATTCTTTCACCATATTTATTCAGTCTGTATGCTGAGCAAATAATATGAGAAACTGGACTATATGTGAAGAACATGGCATCAGGATTGAAGGAAGACTCATTAACAACCTGCATTATGCAAATGACACGACTTTGCATGTTGAAAGGGAAGAGGGCTTGAAGCACTTACTGATGAAGATCAAAGACTACAGCCTTTAGTATGGATTGTACCTCAACATAAGGAAAATAAAAATTCTCACAACTGGACCAATAAGCAACATCATGATAAATGGAGAAAATGTTGGAAGTTGTAAAGGATTTCATTTTACTTGGATCCACAATCAATGCCCACGGAAGAAGCAGTCAAGAAATCAAACAACATATTGCACTGGGCAAATATACTGCAAAAGACCTCTTTAAAGTGTTAAAAACTAAAACTGTCACTTTGAGGGCTAAGGCGCACCTGACCCAAGCTTTTTCAATCATGCGAAAGCTGGACAATGAATAAGGAAGACCAAAAAAGAATTGATGCCTTTGAATTATGGTGTTGGTGAAGAATACTGAATATACCATGGACTGCCAGGAGAAAGAACAAATCTCTTGGAAGAAGTACAGCCAGAATGCTCCTTAGAAACCAGAATGGTAAGAGACTTTATCTTACTTACTTTGGTCATGTTATCAGTAGAGACCAGTCCCTGGATAAGGACACCATGCTTAGTAGAGGGTCAGAAAAAAGAGGAAGACTGTCAACAAGATGGACTGACACAGTGGCTGCAACAATGGACTCAGACATAGCAATGATTGTGAGGATGGCACAGGACCAGGCGGCGTTTTGTTCTTTTGTACATAGGGTCACTGTGAGTCGGAGTGACTCAACAGCATCTAACGACAACAATATCCCACACTGAACTCTGATCCTTTTACCATTTGTTCTCCCTGAGTTGGAATCAACTCGAGGGCAATGGGTTTGGTTTTGGTTAACCCCAGTCAAGTGTGTGTGTGTGTGATTTTTAGTAGAAAGAAAGGAGACTTCAATGTTCCACATTAACTTATAAGCACACGTTTACCTATTAATCTATATTGTTCATTATTAAATCACTTCTACACCACAGGATAGCACTATCTGAATCAATAGTAGTATGGAAGAAATCAAACGTTGCCTTATGTTCAAGTCAGACTCTACCTGAGGTACCATTTATTTTGAGCGAGGAGAAAGCCAGACCCAGTACTTCACAAGAAAATCTATTCTACCCATATACCCACACCCACACACCTATATAGAGTGGTGGGCTAATTAACACAAGGCTTGTGAGTTTAAAGTTTAAATAATACAATTCTGTTTCCTTGTTGTTGCTCTTAGGTGCTATTAAGTTGGCTCTCATCTTTCACACATGAACTAAATGCTCCCCGGACCTGTGCCATCCTCACGTTTGTTGCTATGTTTGAGCCCATTGTTGCAGCCACTGTGTCAATCTATCTAATTGAGGGTCTCCCTCTTTTTTGTTGACCGTCTATTCTACCAAGCATTATATCCTTCTCCAGTGATTGGTCCCTCCTAATGATATGTCCAAAGTAAGTGAGAGGATGTCTCATCATCCTCACTTCTAAGGAACATTCTAACTGTACCTCTCCAAGACGGATTTGTTCATTCTTTTGGCAGTCCATGGTATATTCGATATTCTTCGCCAACACCACAATTCAAATACATCAATTCTTATTTGGTCTTCCTTATTCATTGTCCAGCTTTCGCATGATTGAAAATACATGGCTTGGATCAGATGTGCCTGAGTCATCAAAGTGACATCTCTGCTTTGTTTCCTACAACAAACTTATTCAATAGTAAAGTGAACAAATACAATTTCCTGTAACAAACCTGTTTGTTAAGATATGAAGTCATTTCAAGGCTGTGTTATATACATGGGAGAATACAAAATATTTTTTAACAATTAAATACCTCAGAGACCTTGGGCCCTTCTCATAAATCATTAAGAGAGTATAACAGACATTGGGTTTGTAGAGGTTTAAATTTACTTCTAGCCTTTACTTCACCAGGTTATTTTCCAACAGTACTCCAGAGTATAATTTTCTCTAATCTTCTCTGTCTTATCTTGCTTAGTAGGGCAATAACCAGCAGTACCTGAATATTCAAAGAATATGTCAACAAAATTATTTTCTCTCAAATATCCTCTTCCAATGCCATTTTGGCCTATAATTTCTATTAATTTTAACAAACGCTGAATCGAAATTTGGGGTTTGCAGACACCAGTGAAAAGTGGACAAAGCAATAGTTGATTCTTCGGGCTGTGATAAACTCTGGCTTCCAAAGTTCAAGAATCACAAGAGATTCCAAGATCCTCTGTGACCCCAACTCCAAAACTCCCACCTAATTATCCTATCTAGCCAACAACTTGGCCTTAATTGCCTTTTCCATACTTCTGCTCTATGACTATAACTCTGAGCACATTTCCCTGGCATTGTAATCCCAGTAACAGGGGCTTATGACAAAGTATATGACGCAAGTCTCAGGACCATTTCCTAAACATCTTGTAAAAGCATGACAGTACACTAGAGTGGCTGCATTTTATATTTCACTTGTAACATATATAGTGGTGGGGTTTAGTTTTAAATTAGAGAATAGGAAATACAGACATACAATTAGTACAAAATTCCAAGATCCGAAAGTAAAAACTAGGTCTCCCTCCAACCCCAGTCCACTGGTCATCTGCTTCCCTCTCAGAAGGCAACCATTGTTACCAGTTCTGTATGTATCCTTCCAGGGATACTCTATGTATACTACAAACAAATATGTATTTTATACATATACACACGTATATACATTTTTAAACATAAATGGTGGTGTCTTACTTATCCAGTGCTGTTATAACAGAAACACCGCAAGTGGATGGCTTTAACGAACAGAAATTTATTTTCTCACAGTTTAGGAGGCTAGAAATCCGAATTCAGAGCGCCACCTCTAGGGGAAGGCTCTCTGTCAGCTCTGGAAGAAGGTCCTTGTCTCTTTAGCTTCTGCTTCCTGGTTCTTTGGAGATATCCATGTGCCTTAGCATCTGTCTTACCCCATCTCTGCTTCTCTTGCTTGCTCATTTAATCTCTTTAATATCTCAAAACAGATTGACTCAAGACACACCCAACACTAATCCCATCTCATTAAGTATCAAAGACAACCCACTCCCAAATGGGATTATAACCACAGACATACAGGTCAGGATTTTCAACACATATTTTGGGAGGACATAGTTCAATACATAACAGGTGGCATACTATATACATTCTTCTTCACATTGCTTTTTTTCACTTGTTACAGTGCTTTTATTGATAGATAAGATTCTGACAACCTGGGACATGGAATTGTGGCAAACCAATTGCTAGCTAACCTTTTTAAACCATAAAGAGGCATCATAAAGTATCACCTTACAGAATATGTAAAAATTCCTAAAATCTGTTTTTCCCATGATTGTCAATTAAAGCTCTACTAGTTGCTGTCAAGTTGATTCTGACTCGTGGTGACCCCATGTGTGTCACAGCAGAACTGTGCTCCATAGGGTTTTCAGTGCTGATTTGTCAGAAGTCAATCACCAGGCCTTTCTTCGAGGAGCCTCTAAAAGAAAAAAAGTGTTGCCTTCAAGTGGATTCCGACTCATAGTGACCCTATAGGACAGAGTAAAACTGCCCCCCCCCCAGAGTTTCCAAGGCTGTAATCTTTAGGGAAACAGACTGCCACATCTTTCTCCCATAGAGGAGCTCGTGGGTTGGAACCACAAACCTTTTGGTTAGCAGCCGAGTGCTTAACCATTGCACCACGAGGGCTCCTCGAGGAGCCTCTGGGTGGGCCCAAACCTCCAACCTTTAGGTTAGCAGTTGAACATGTTAACCATTTACACCTTCCAGGGACAATTAAGGCTCTAAACCAAAAACAAAACCCACTGCTGTCGAGTTGATTCCGAGTTACAGCGACCCTATAGGACAAAGTAGAACTGTCCCGTAGGGTTTCCAAGGCTGTAATCTTTAGGGAAGCAGGCTGCCACGTCTTTGTCCCATGGAGCGGTTGGTGAGTTCAAACTGCTGGCCTTTCGATTAGCAGCCAAGCACTCTAACCACTGTACCACCCGTACCCATTGCTGTGAAGCTGATTCCAACTCATAGCAACCCTACAGGACAGAGCAGAACTGCCCCGTAGGGTTTCTAAGGAGTGGCTGGTAGATTAGAACTGCCAACCTTTTGGTTAGCAGCTGAGGGCTTAACCACTGCACCACCAGGGCTCCACTGTGTCACCAGGGCTCCTTAATTAAGGCTCTAAACCAAAAAATCAAACCAAACCCAGTGCTGTCAAGTTCCTTCCAACTCATAGCGATCCTATAGGAGAGAGTAGAACTGCCCCATGGGGTCTCCAAGGAGCGGCTGGTGGATTTGAACTGCCGACCTCTTGGTTAGCAGTCAAGCTCTTAACCACCGCACCACCAGGGCTTCCAATTAAGGCTCTACTAGGTACTAAAGGGACACCCTAGTGGCATAGTAGCTAAGTGCTCAGCAGTTAAAATTCACCAGGTGCTCCTTGGAAACTCTATGGAGCAGTTCTACTCTGTCCTATAGGGTCGCTATGATTCAGAATCGACTTGATGGCAACCGGTTTGGTTTGGTTTGGGTTTTTGGTTCAGGTACTAAATACTGTATTAGGCCCCTTACATATTCTTTCATTTAATGCAATAGCCCTTTGAGGTGAAGTTTATTGAGTTTTATTACCATTTTATAGATGAGGAAATTAAAGCTTGGAGAGTTTAGCCTTCAAAATCTCAGCTAGAAAGTGACGGAGCTGCCTTACTCCAAAGCCCAGGTAGTTTGTATCATATTAACTGTATCTTTACAGATTTTTTTAAATACAGAATTCATCTGTATTTTTTTTAATTTTAATTCAGACATCATAGTTGTCTTCAACTTCAGAAACAGCTTCTGCTACAATTACCTAATTCCTCTCCTCTATTTAGGTGTTGCCTTCTGTAATCATATTCCTATAGCAGAAAAACTATAGGAAAGAAAAAAAAAGAAAATGACTGCAAATACAGATTTGTGTATCAGTATAAATGGAAATACAGTAGTAGTTATATAACAAAGGCTGGCAAAACCTTAAACCTGCATATTTTGGAAACAAGATTTGCCATTTAATAGGAATTAACATTTTTTTAACTGAGAATATACTTTATGGTGGAAACTTCCAAGATTAAACCCAAATATAGCTATATCCATACTTGGGAGCGCTTTAAGAACTCAAGGCTGAAAATCCCACACTGTACTTGTTGTCAATCCATTGTTTTCCTGCCTTGTAGGCTCTGGAAGTGAATATTCTACCACTTTGTGCAGGTGATTCTGAATGCTGTGTCCACTGAACTGGGGTCGCCCAGGGTCACCAATCAGTATTTGAGTTGTGTGGGTCCAAAAGCATTTCTTTAGCCATCCATGAAGACTGTCTGCAAGGTCTTCATCATAAAACATATCTCCAAGAACAACAAGGTCCCAGTTATCTTGTTCCAAATCCAAAATGTTTCTGGTTAAAATGGGAAAAGGATTCAGCTGGTTCAATTCACAGTTTAGTGTAATGGCCATTCCTGCAACTATCAAAAAAAACACATGATAAGTCAGTATATGCTGGGCCATTTTAATTCCCTATTGATTAATTTGAGTAATTTAGAAAATTTCCTAGCAATATCTTTTCTCCCCCTTTCTGTTGAAAGTTGTTTTTATAAAGAAGCCTAAAGGTTACGCTAATATAAGCTACTTACTGCCATTTCCAAAAATATGACAGACTGGATATCCTGAAAACAAAACAAATATTACAAAACACCTTGAAATATTAAGATCTTAGGAACTTTGCTGATCCCAATATCCAAGAGGTTTGGTTTCTTACAGTGGAAATAAGTTTTGGGCTTGAGCAAGGTGGTGAGTTAGAACTGAAGCCCCTATATAAACTAAGGATCTTCAAAGGGCTGTGCCCTCAGTGAAAGGGTGGACAAGAAAAAAATATAAAAAAATAAAATAAAAACTTACCTGTCTCAGCTTGAGGTCTACTGGAATAAAAATCTCCCCCAAAGACACACAGGCCTCCCCTCACTTGGGTCCTGGGTCAAATAAATACTACCTACATATTTCAGAAAATCCCTAGCCCAGAAATCAACAGTAAGTGGTCCCAAGTTGGTATCACTCTGGGATGCCTGGCAGAAACACAAACAAATTCTCTTGGGCAAAACGCACCTTCAGCTGAAGCCTCACAGGATTCCCACAGATAATGTCCCACCGAACATAAGCTCACAATCTCAGATTACAAAATACACATGGTAGTTTATTACTATGTAACTGTTCATATTTCTCCTGGAGGAAAAAAAAAAAAAGAGATGAGCTTCAAATATTTTTAAATATGAAATCCTTACTAGGGTCTATGTCATTGGCCAAGATCCTTGATGCCCCACTCATTTTAGCAGCAATCGCTGTAGCTCCACATCCACTCCCAAGATCTAACACAGATTTTCCTCTGACAATGTCAGGATTATCCAAAAGATACCTAAATAAAAAGAAAGATGGGAGAATTAGAGAGATGGGAGGTCAATAAGAAATGGCAAAAAATAATAATGTCTTTGGGTTGACTAGACAATGAAGTAGTGGAACTTAGGAGAAGAACTTGGTCCAAACTTGGCAAGTCTGGCCCGGCTAGAGTAAGACAAAATGTCAATCTTCAGAGCTGGGCTGAGATAGCCGGAGAGAAAACCTAGTCAGTTGGTCTTTCTCTTCAGCAGCTGTGAAGAGCAGTTCCACACAACTGACTAATCGTGCTTTTCAAGTCAACTAAAAAAAAAAAAGTATTGAGCAATTAATACAATCCAGAAACTACCAAGCACAAGGAATACAAACTGACAAAATGCTGCCGTTATCAGGACTAAGCAAGCTAGATCCAAAATTCATGGTCTCCTTTCGATTGTTCATCATGGCGTGATTTTTACCTGCTGCTTGAACTGTATTATGAATTTTCTGGTAACGTACAACCAAAGTCCAGCTCAACCAGAGAAGCTGGACCAGGGCTGACTAGTTACCAAATAAGTGAAGATGGATGGGGTAACACTGAAATAATAAATGTCAACTAACACTTGACCTCAGTAGTGGAAATGAACAGGGAGTAGTCGGGACCGTGGTGAAGCAGGAATACATAAACTTGCCCTCTCTAAAGGGACAGTTGCTACCCATCTTCAACTAGCTGCTGCCATCCAGAAATTCAGTGTTACCAGATATTCCTGTTTTTCAAAACAAAGTTGATTTTTACAGGAAATTTCTCAACTTTTAAGTATTAAAATGTTAGCAATTAAAAAAAAAAGTTTACAACAAAGTACAGGCCAAACAAAACACATGTGTGGGTCACAAATTTGTGCCTTCTGATTCAGACAGTCTCTTCAGGAAGTTGATTGTTTATATTTGGACTTGACAAAACAAGCCACTCTAACAGATATCCCTTACAATGTCAGCATTTAACAAATATGATGTAACTAGTTAAAACTTGAAGGTTTGGCAACACAGCAACCAGAAAATTGGAATTGTTGGGCAGCACCTGGAAAGCTTTCCAGTCCTTGGGATTCCCCAAAAAGATATATGTTTACACACACACACACATATATATATATTTAAGAGGCCCTGGTGGTACAGTGGTTAAGAACTTGGCTGCTAACTAAAAGGTAGGCAGTTCAAATCCACCAGCTGCTCCTTGGAAACCCTATGGGGCAGTTCTACTCTCCTATAGGGTCGCAATGAGTTGGAATCAACTGGATGACATCAGGGCTTTTTTTTGTTTGTTTGTTTTTTTAAATATTACATTTAAAACAATATACAACATTATCTCTGTAGGCCATACCATTCCTGTAAAAGAGAAGTCTTGTTGCCGTTTTTGTTTCACTGCTCCATAACCTCAAGGCAGAAACAGATTAAATGATTTACCTCTCCAAAAGCAAAGACCAAAGTGAATGCTGATAGCTCTTGCCTTTGTTTCAGTAGCTGGGTTTTAATAAAAAGCATAGTGTGAATATGTAAGAAAATGCCCTAAGAAGACCTCTGCAGTATGGGGGGGGTGGGGTAGAAAGGAAAACCTTAAAAACATGGATTCAAGGGCAGGGTTTTCCTGAGATGTCAATCAACTAGTAGAGAAGAGGAAAACTGTGAGTTGCCCGCTCACTCACATCTATTGCTCTGTGTGAGACTGGGAAGAGGCAAGGACGGAGGGAGTGTGAGGTTTAGGAGCAACATTCACAGGATTGAACTAGGAGAGCTGAAGGACGGGGTGTTTAGGTTCTGCCTAGGAAAGAACCTGCGATCTCTGCACCGGCCATACATTATGACCCTTAAATCTGTGAATATGTTGAGATTTCTGGATCATTCATGGCTATCTAGGATCTTAAGAGCTAACGCTAGAATTTCTCTTGGGGGAAATACCTTGATAAGCTTGGGGTTGAAGGTGAAACAATGCAACGAAACAACCAGAAAAGATGGTGTAACTACTCTTAATAAGAAAAGAAGTATTTTGACTTTTGCAGGTGGGGAGGAGAGAATGAGGAGTTTGAAAGAGCTGAAAAAAGAAAGAATCTGTAGCAGCCTTAAAAGTTCCCGTTTTCAATTAGGGCGGTACCTAGACAGGGCTTGGCCTCCTGGCCAGTAGATAGCCCAGTAAGGATCACTGTAGGGCCATAGGTCAGCTCTTTCCCACCAGAACTTGCATCTGGGAGTCAGAAGACGCAACTGGATTTCAGGGGTGAGGTTGCCAGTGCTGGTGACTTCAGTGTTCTCCTCCAGGAAAGCCTTCATCTCAGGGTCCAAAATACTCCCAGCTCCTCTCCAGGGGTGGCGGCCCCAGGGAAACAAGGGAAGACCACCACTTCTCACAGCCCTCAGAAAAAGACTGCAGCGGTTCGCGGGAAATAGTGCAAATACTTTCCAACTTAGGCTCAAAGGCATCAGTGCTTTTCCAAAACACAGGTTCTGTCAGTATTGCTGTTGATAAGGGTTGCTCCTCATGGGAAAAGAACAAGGGCCTGGCTCCCAGCTTGATCGCACCAGGACTCCCTGGATCTCTAAAAACAGAAATAATACTGAAAATTACAAAACTGACCAACATTTCCAGATCCTGTTACATAATAAGAAAAGTTACAGTAGAGGCTCTGTATCTGTTTACCAAACTCGTGCAGGTTCAGATGAAAGCTTTGGTGCGTCAATTTAGGAAAACCCAATCTTTTAAAAGGATGTCTTTTCACAAAGGAATCCTTTTAATAGTTTGTTTTCAGAACAAGTATATAAGTATTTGATTTTGAGAAAAATCCTCAGAAACATGCCTGTTGCATAAAATAAATTATACCTTTAAAGTCCTCTCATACATTCAACAAATCACCTTTAAGCAAGCACTGTGCTTGGCAACTGTGAAAACTTCTCCTCAGGAAGCTTATATTCTAGTGGTGGGATACAGCAGTTAACAAGGCCAATACAGTTCTAGCCTTTATGAAGTACAGTCAAGAGCTGTGGAGTTAACAAACTATAATTGTCTGTGGGGCAGACTACACTGTATTTCAAAAAAGACTGCTGTGTCATAAAATACCAATGTAATCGATATTCCAATTTTCATTTGAAAAAAAAAAACTTTATAGATTTACTTGTAGTAAAAGGATAAGACATCGACTTCCAGATCTCTTTCTGTAAATATCTCTAATGATTCGACTTGACTAAGCCTGGGCTGAAAAGATTTGCTCCAGTAAGAAGGAATGAGGAACAGCATCTTAAACACTAGAAGTACATACCCAATTGTTCGGTCTTTCTGGTCTGTTCTACAAACATGTTTTAAATAGTCTTACAGCCACCCAGAAGGCGCCCTGGTGGCACAATGGTTAAGTGCTCGGCTGCTAACTGAAAGGACGGCAGTTTGAAGCCACCAGCTGCTCCTCATGAGAAAAGACCTGGCCATCTACTTCCGCTAAGATTATACCCTAGGAAACCCTATGGGGCAGTTCTACTCTGTCCTATAGGGTCGCTATGACTCAGAATCAACTTGACAGCAAGGGGTTTATGAGTCAGTATCAATTCGAGGGCTCACAACAACAACATAGCCACCCAAGTACCAACTGAGTCAAAAATTCAAATGCCTGCAAGGGGCCAGACTGGTGATATAAATGAGCGAGGCAGGCTAGTGGTAAGATAACAGGAAGGGCAGGGGCAAACTGGAGACTGTGTCTTAATAGACCAAAGGGGCCAGCAAACTGTTGCCAGGTAAGTACAGGTAGCCAGATCTCCCAATTTCTCAAGATAATTCAGAAATCCACATATTTATGTTTAATCTCCCAGCTTTTAAACTCTGGTGACTAATTCAAATGTCAAAACACAGAGCAGGCCAAAAGTGCATGTCAGGCTTCTAGTCTGCAAACTCAGGCTAGACTTTTAGCAGGTGTTAATTATCCTAGTTTACGCACTGAGATACCAAACACTGGATCCCAGGAGTTCTAACGGCCTGACATCACATTACACTAATTCTGTTAAGCAGTATTGGGTTATCCCTGTTTTTACCTGCCATCCAGTCAGCTGACTGGTGCAAACTCCACGTGCTACAGAGTAGAACTGTTCCACAGCGTTTTCTTGGCTGTAATCTTTATGGAAGCAGATTGCCAGGCCTTTCTTCCAAAGAGCGGCTGGGTGGTTAAACCACCAGTCTTTAGGTTAGCAGCTGATGGCAAACCGCTTGAGCTACCGGGCTCCTTTGGGTTATCCCTAGAATCATACAAGTCTAAGGCTGAAAAATAAAGCAGAGCAAATATGAGATTAGTTTGTCTTTCGTCATGTCATCTAGAAGACGCCTTCCCCTCCCATTCCAGCACCAGTGAAGCATAGGTTCTGAAGCACGTGATTATGTGGTGGGTACTTGGCAACTATATCAATTGATAAGAAAGGCTGGCAGGATAAAAAGGGTAAGTTCCTAAAGTGTGCGTGACAACGTTATGTTCCTCCCGCCCGCTAGGGGAGGGCAGGGAGTCAATCTTAAAGGGGCAGGCACGGTCCTCCTTTTCTTCTTACCTTGCTTTTCTAATACCGCACTCGGGAGCTAAAGCACAGAGAACTCGCCTCCGTGCATTCTTCACGCCTGCGCCTCCCGCTCCCGCCTCCCAAGCTTGAGTCAGTAGTTGGGCTGAGGGCGCGGATCTGGCAGCCCCACCCGACCGGGTTCCGCCGGCTTCCGCCCTCTTTCCCAGCAGCGCTTTCTTCCTTTTTCTCTACCCTTTCTTAAAGGGGCAGGAAGGGCCACAGCAAAAGGTGCTATTACTTCTCTTTGAGAACAAGGGGACGTTAAATCCATGTACAAGGTTCTGTCAAATTTTTACTTTATAAGACTGTAGAACTCTTTATGGGACATCTTCTATGTGTCAGGCAAACTTCTGGGCAATGGACATAGAGTGGTGAGCAAAATAGACACAGTAAAATCCCTTTATGGCGCTTACAGGTAAGTGCAATTAAATTACAATGTATGTCTTCCCTGTTATAATAATTTTTATAAATGCACAATCCAAGTATATTTGCAGCTCATAGCTCTCAGGTTCTGAACCTGTATATCCATCTTCCACAAGTCACTGAGTCGCGTTAAAAATCATTCTGACAGCTCGCCCTTTAATACCAGTTTGCTGTAAAAGGGATTGAGCTCTCTCGAGAAGACTGGAAATCATCAGCGAACTCAAGCTATGATGCCATCTAGTGATAATTTAACCTGACATCGACCAAACGTGCCTTTGAGCTAAAAAGGTTTTTTTAAAAAGCCTAGAAAACAAACTATGAAAAAGCGAAGATTCCCACCCACAATGTTGCCACACACTGGCGTACTTTAGTTGTTAGGTATGGCAGAAATATGTATCATTAGCGAAAATTAGTTAAGACCTGAAGTTTAAGAAGGATTTAATGTCATCCTTAACATCTCTCTCCCTCTTTCTCTCTCTCATATACACATACACAATAAGAGGCCTGAAATGCACAAATCTTAAATGAAAAGTTTGATGAGTTTTGACAAATGTATACACCTATGTAACCCACACATATCAAGATATAGAACATTCTCATCACCCCAAAAAGTTCTCTGCTGCCCCTTCCCGATTAATCTTACCCATCCACCCCCAAGCCCAGGCAACCACTGTTTTCTGATTTCTGTCACCACAGATTACTTTTGCCTGTTCTAAAGTTTCATATAAATGAAATTATACAGAATGTACTATTTTGTATCTGGCTTCAATTGCTCAGCATAATGGTTTTGAGATTTATCCATGTTCATGTTGTTGCCATATATTGGTAGTTCACTCTTTTTAATTGTTCAGTAGTATGGCATTTGGATGAACATACTTCAATTTGTTTATCCATTTTCCTGTATATTGACATTTGGGTTGTTTCCATTTTGGAGCCATTATAAATAAAGCTATAAAGCTGCTATGAACATTCTTGCACAACTTGTTGTGGTCATAATTTTCATTTCTCTTGGGTAAATGCCTAGGAATGGAATTGCTGCGTCATAGGATAAGTGTATGTTTAATTTTATAAGAAATTGCCAGTTTTTATTTTCTTTTTTTTGGTGAAAACATAACACCATATCAGTGATTTCTACGTGTACAAGTTCAGTGATATTGGTTACATTCTTCAAGTTGTGCCACCTTTCTCAATATCCTTTTCCAAGTTATTTCACCATAAACTCACTGCCCCCTAACTTTTCCATCTAACCTTTTGAGTTACTGTTGTCAATTTGATCACATATAGATGATTCTTTAAAAGAGCACGATACTCCAGGCAAACATTCTTTACTAATTAAGCTAAACTATTGTTTGATTTAAAGATGACTTCACATCACACGAATACACACATGCACACCCATGTTCATGGCAGCATTGTTCACAATAGCAAAAAGATGGAAACAACCTAGATGCCCATCAACAGATGAATGGATAAACGAACTATGGTACACACACACAATGGAGTACTATGCAACGAGAAAGAACAACGATGAATCTTCGAAGCATCTCATAACGTGGATGAATCTGGAGGGCATTATGCTGAGTGAAGTAAGTCAATCACAAAAGGACAAATATTGTATGAGACCACTAATGTAAAAACTCATGAAAAGGTTTACACACAAAAAGAAACAATCTTTGATGGTTATGAGGGAGGGGAGGGGTGAGGTGGGAGAAACACTAAATAGACAATAGATACATGGTAACTTTGGTGAAGGGTAAGACAGTACACAATACTGGGGAAGCCAGCACAACTTGTACAAGGAAAGGTCATGGAAGTTCTAAAGACGCAACCAAACTCCCTGAGGGACTGAATTGCTGGGCTGAGGGCTGTGGGGACCATGGTCTCAGGAAACATCTAGCTCAACTGGCATAACATAGTTTATAAAGAAAATATTCTACATTCTACCTTGGTGAGTAGCATCTGGGGTCTTAACAGCCTGGGAGCGGCCATCTGAGATACTCCACTGGTCTCACCCCTTCAGGAGCAAGGGAGAATGAAGAAAACAAGATACAAGGGAAAGATTAGTCCAAAGGACTAATGAACCACAACTACCATGGCCTCCACCAGACTGAGTCCAGTACAACTAGATGGTGCCCGGCTACCACCAGTGAGTACTCTGACAGGGATCATAATAGAGGGTCCCAGACAGAGCTGGAGAAAAATGTAGAACACAATTCTAACTCACAAAAAAGACCAGACTTACTGGCCTGACAGAGACTGGAAAAACCCCGAGAGGATGGCCCCCGACACACTTTTAGCTCAGTAATGAAGTCACTCCCAAGTTTCACCCTTCAACCAAAGATTGGATAGATCCATAAAACAAGATGAGACTAAAGGGGCACAACAGCCCAGGAACAAGGACTAGAAGACAGGTGGGGACAAGAAAGCTGTTAACAGGGAACCCAAGGTCGAGAAGGGAGAGTGTTGACATGCTGTGGGGTTGTTAACCAATGTCATAGAACAATATATGTACTAACTGTTTAATGAGAAAATAGTTTGTTCTGTAAACCTTCATCTAAAGTACAATAAAAATAAAAATAAAATAAAGATGACTTTAAGAGTAGTTTTGATTTAAGGTTTAAACATTTCCTTAGGGCAATAGTTTCAGGGGTTCATCCTGCTTTAGTGGCTCCAGAAAGTCTGGATTCCATGAGAAAGAAATTGCCAGACAGTTTTCCAAAACGATTGTACCATTTTAACATTATTCCCACCAGTTATGCATGAGAGTTCCACATCATCACCTTTTGTGTTGTCAGTCATTTTAATTTTAGCCATTCTAGTAAGTGTGAGGTGGTATCTCATTGTGGCTTTAATTTGTATTTCCGTATGACTGATTTCCTCATGCTTACTGATGGCTGGGATTTTGTCCGTTTTATTTATTGACGTATTTCCTGCACCTTAGAACAAGGTGGGGCCCATACTAGGAGCTCAAGGAATTTTTTTTTTTTTAATAAATTAGTGATTTACTCTAAAAAACAAATGAATTAGAGTGGATTCAAAGATATTAGCCCTTGATAACCCAGAGAACTTCCTTGGATTTTGAAAATTTTCTTGAGTGGGAGAGAAAGGATATCCTAGCCTAGTTGTCTAGGAATAATATTTATTTAACTCACAGCCCATTTTTCCCATTCAGAACTGACATCATGTTAATAGTCATGGTAAACAGAGTTTACAGTAGTGCTTTACTTCCTTGAGAAAATTTTCAAGATATTTTATGCCCAAAGAACTGTATGATGCATTTGAACAATATCAGGTTTCCATAGTTTGGGGAGGAAAAAAAAGGTGAGCACTTGTAATAAAACTTACGTAACTGCTTGATTTGAAATTATACTTGGATTTTTATTTTCTCCATGAGCACTTATTTGACATGGTCAGAATTTGTAAAATGTAATGATTGAACAAACTTTCACGTAAGTTTATTAACTTATTTAATAAAGAAAAGTTAGACTGGAAATGAGGTGTTATCTGTAAGAATATCTGTGGTTAGAATTTCTGCCTAATCATTATAGAGAAAAAATTGTGCTTCAGTGAAAAACAATGAATTGTTTAGCACGTACTCTCTAGGTCATCTGATTCTGATTCTATGGCAACTATTTTACAACTTTGTAAGTTGTAGATAAGGAGCCCTGGTGGTGGAGCTGTTAAGCACTTGGCCCCTAACCCAAAGGTCAGTGGTTCCACCCACCAGCCATTCCTTGGGAGAAAAGACCTGGTGATCTACTCCAGTAAAGATTACAGCCTAGAAAACCTTATAGGGCAGTTCTACTCTGTCCTATAAGGTTGCTGTGAGTTAGAATCAATGCCAGAGCAGCAGGTTTGGGTTTTGGTTGGTTAAGTGGTAGAAAACTACAGCAGTGCTAAATATATCTTGTCTATAGACATGTATTGAATCGCTATGAGTCGGAATTGACCAGACAGCAGTGGGTTTTTTTTTTTAAGACGTATAAATCTGTCTTGTCCAGTTGACTTCCCTCCCCCTTTGTGGAAAAAGCTAGCTTTACCTCCAATTGCAAATTCATTTCAATATCCCTGATCTATAAATGTATCTGTTGTAGTCTCCTTTGAACTGACTGTAACAGCTTGCCAGATTCTTCATTATAACTTTTAATAGATCTTTAATACATGGTCATTTTATGTATGTATAAGAGTCATGATTTTACCTTGTTTTGGGGGGGATTACCTCTAATTAAATAATTAGTTAACAATACAAGAAGGCAATAATTGACCTCTAAACGTGGGAGGCTAGTCCATCTTTTGGGTCGCTGTAAGTCAGAATTGACTCGACAGGCAACGGGTTTCTGGTTTGGTTAGTCCATCTGGAGTGGTGCAGGTTAGGAAGTCAACACAAGTGATGAAACCCGTGTGAAACTGTTCGCTACAGATTAGGAAGTAAGCACAAGGAAGCCAGTGCTTACCATGTTCACTGGGTAATCCGTCCCTGTCAGGGATTGTAAATTTGAAAAGAGGCTTTTATTCTGTAGGAAGGTGCTGTGGGGTTGGGAGAGAGACAGATGCCAACCATACCTAGAAGCAGAATCTTCAATGTGGTGAAAAGATGTGAAATTGTTCACTACAGACAATGTCGTAAGCAAGGTAAGCTCTGCTCTTACCTCTCACATTTTCTTTTCTAGAAGTCTCTAGTTAATATCAAAATTGCTCTCTTTCAACAGCCTACTTAGACAGCTTGACTTCAGCAATTAATACTTGTAGCAGTGCTGGGGAGGAAGTGAGCTTAGCCCCATACATTTGAGACAGTGTCCAGGAAATTCTCCCACAAGACCTGCTCCCACACCATCCTACAGAATTCAAGGGAAGGGAAACCCAATAACTCTGCTCCACTCTTTTTCTTAGGCTATTTCAACAAGAATTCACAACATGCCCGGTGTCCCTGGCCCTGTATTGTATAGGGATAAGTAGCAGAACCCAAGGTTTTAGAGCACATGTGTGTGAATGTTTGGGGACAGAACAAAAGATAGTGCCTCAAGGGGTAAGAGGGAAAAAGAAAGGCGGAGTGAGTGCTTAGGGGGCACTGAGTTCTGTTAATGGTGGTGGAATAATTTGGAAAAGGATAGATGTGATGGTTGCACAACGTGAGGAATGTAATCAATGTCACTGAATTGTACATGTAGAAATGGTTGAATTGGCAAAAGTTCTGTGATATGTATTTTTACCACAATAAAGAAAATTTTTTTAAATGAAGGTGCCTCAAGCATAAAGTGCTCGTTGACCTGGCCAAGAACTACTACGAGCTGTCTCACTTCCTGAAAGCCCTGCAGGCTAAAGAGACTTCACCTGCGTCAGTGCTCCAAGCCAACTTCCAGATCTTTTGATTAAATAAACATTTCAGGTGCTGACATTTTCCACATTTGCTGAGGTATACTAGGAACATGGAAACCTTATAGATGTTGTATGATAATAAGCTTTCAAGAGCGATATTGCCAGCTAGATCCAGTAATGTC